GGCCAGGAGAACAGCAGAAGGGTTGGAATGACATCAGCTGCAGCACCTCCTGCTCAGGGACTCAGCCCCTCGTGTGAGGTTTTGGAAACCTCACAGAGCGGAGAGCCCACGGTCCCAGAGCCACCCAGTGTCCCAGCTGTGGAGAGGGGAAGCAGGAGTCACTTGGGAGAGAGGAAAAGGTCCGAGGGACAGGTTTGGGGAAGGAGGGATGTGTTATTGTGAAGAGGGCACTTGTCTGCCCTGGAGGAAGGAAGAGGGGAATGCTGGCCTCGCTCCTGAAGGCAGGTGCATGGCTGAATTTATCAGGGGAAGGAAGCAGGGACGGAAGCGAGCCCGGAGCACTGGGCGGCTCCATCGGGGCTCACGGGCAGGCACGGGAAGAGGCCCAGGACAGTGAAGCAGCTTCACAAGGTTTGTCAGGACATGGCTGCACCGGGGGGAGAGAGGGTGGGGGAGCCCCCGCCAGCCCCACCACGGCGCTGGGCTCTCACACAGTGCCCTGCACAGCACCTCATGGGGTCACCACTTCAGCAGCTGGGGAGATGCTTGTTCCCAGGCAGGGCTGGAGGGCTGTGAATGCCTGTGCAGAGCAGAAGACAAAGAAAGGGAGCAGTGGGTTTGCTCTGGTTATTCCCAGAGAGGAATGGGACGTGTCCAGAAAAGTTCTCAGCTTTTTTGTCTAACTATTTCTCTCACTCTTTCTCTCTAACTCTGTGTCTAACTCCATTTATTTTTCTTCCTAACTCTATTTCTTTTTCTCTCTAACTTTATTTTTAACTTTGTTTTTCTTTCTAGCTTAAAAATAAAAATGCAGTAGTAGAAACGTTCAGGCTCCCTGGGAGTAAAAACAAAAACAAAACAACTTTAAATTATTATTTAAATAAAAAAATTTACTCCATGGCAGCCCGAAATTTTCTAGTGCTGCACCAGACTTTTTTTTTTTGTCTATAGTATATAGGGCCCCTAATTAGTACTCTAGATGAAAGTAACTAATAATTACCTTGATTTAGCATTACATGCCTACTCCCATCTGGAGTACTAATTAAATGAAAAAATTAATTAATTACACACCTAATTGGTTAATTGGATAATTACTTAATTAGACAATTAGCTAATTAGTGAATTTTTCAGAGCACAGCCACCACTATCACTGATCAAAAGATCCACCTCTCACAAAAGCCCAGCCCTCTCCCAGGGTAACTTCCCCTACACAGAAACACGTGGCCCTGCCCCTGGGCCAGGTGACCCCTCCTCCCTGGCCACGTGACACCCCTGGTGTCACATGGCCCCGCCCCCGGTCACGTGCCCCCCGGGAGTCATGTGGGCCCGCCTCCCCAGCCACATGACACTCCCCCGGCATCACGTGACCTCACCCAGTGGGCACATGATCCCACGGTGGAACGTGCCCCCTGGGCCATGTGACCCATTGGAAGTCACGTTGCCCCGCCTCCCTGGCCACATGACCTCCTGGGTGGCCCCCGCCCACCACTGTGCCATCGCGTCGTCACGTGGCCCCGCCCCTCGCCACGTCATTGTGTCGTCACGCCACCACGCCCCCTCATGTAATTGTGTCATCATGTCACCCCACCTGCCTGCATGGGCGCCGCCATGTTTGCCTGGTATCACATGACTGCATGGGGCCGCATTATTTGTCAAGTATCACATGATCGCATGGGGGCCGCCATATATGTCAGGCATCACATGGCTTCCCGCAGGCCGCCATCTTAGTCCCATATCACAGGATATTCCAGCTGCCACAATGGACCACAGGGTTTTTATTCAGATAATACAGAAACCCTAATCAGCGCTGCACATGAAACTAACTAACAATTAACCTGACAAAGCATGACATCACTACTTCCATCTGGACCACTAATTTCATTAACCTATTAATTAATTACACAACAAATGCCTAACTGCACAAAGACATAAGCAAATATTTACCCAATTTTTTACAACAGCACCCCCGAACTCTACACCCTCCCCACCACCACCCCTAAGGCAAGCCCCTCACCAAGCACCACCCCTAACCATAGCAGCCATCCCCCAGCACCACCCCTAACCCCAGTGCAGTGTCAGGAACAGTCAGTTCTGCTCTGCTCTACCATGCCTGACAAACTCAGAGACAAGGAGTGAGAAATTCTTCAGCCGTGGATCACAGGGCACTGGAGTCTTGCCATTTTCTAAGGCAGGTGCAGATGAAAAAGCACTGGAGTCATCATTGTACGGAAGGGTAAGAACGTTGCCCATCAATCTGCACTTCCTTGATTGCTTCAACTGCCACCCTCCTCCCTCGGGAGCAGGACGTGCTCTGGGTTTATCTCCCCAGGGTGACAGGGGTGGGTGGGAAAGCCAGAGGTTTGAGATGCTGGTAACAAAGAGCCTCTGCCTGCAAAACTTGATCCACCACTCCTAGCAGGCTTTCCTCCAGCTGGAGGCAGACCTCAGCCAGCTCTGAGGGGGCTCCTACAGCACCTGCTTCAGCCAGCAAGTCCTTGCTGCAGGATGCTGCAGGGGCTGAAGTTTACACGGGGCCATGGGAGTCTCAGGCTTCTTCTCGCTGAACGTGCCCATTTGACAGCTACTAAAACCAGGCACATCCATCTTGCGAAGATCCTGGCCCAGAAAAGACTGGCAATCAGTAAAACATGCTGGGAAATTACTGCAGGATGTTTGCCCTCCCAAGGCAGCTCAGGTGGGATCTAGAACATGGGGCTGGTGGAACATGAGCTGAACTCAGTACAACCCAGCTTGTTATGGACCATGCAGGAGCAGCCTGAGTATCTACATGGTTCTCAGCACACAACTCACAAAGTTCACAAAGCTGAGCAGAGAGGCTCAGGCAAGCTGTGCCCAGAGCTCAGAATCAGGAGACAAACCTTCCCTCTAGTGGCAGGATGGCACATGAATCCCACAGCCACCTTCTCCCTCTGTTACCCCTCTCCCCATGCCAAGCCTAACAGCATTAGTCTTCACCAGTCCTAAGGCTCAGCACACATCCTGAGGGTGTCAAATCTTACAAATTCTATGTGAGTTTTTACTGGCTTAAAACTGGCGCAGCTGCTGATTTGCACAAAGCCAGACAGCCTCGGGCGTCTGTGTCCACTCTGCAGCTTGTAGTGCCCATCCATGCCCATAATCAGCCCATGCCATGGCTGTGCCAGACAGCACAGTTCATCCACAAGTGTGTCCCAGGCACTGGAGAAGCCACACAGCCACAAATCATTGCTGGTTTCTGCAGCACGGGTGGTTTGTAGGGCCAGTTCTTCAGCTGGGTTTCTCTGCCATGCAGCAGTCATTCACTGGGGCAGAGGATTAGACCGAGAGACTCTGTTAGACCTTTTTATTGTGGGTCTTCATCCCAGTTTCAGACTCATCACTGGCCATTTCTGCTTTTTTTAAAGCCCCAGAGAAATTATTATTTTAGGAAAAAATCACATGGTAGTTTGAAAAAAAAAACCGCTCAGAATTACAAGTAGTGATCACTACAGCCTTATACCTGAGAATCTGATTTTTTATGCTCAGAAAGAGGCTGAGGTGTAGATTTGGAATCCTTAGATTTCACTCTCAGAAATGTTACATTAAAGATGAATGCAGCAACTTCAACATGTTCAAAACAGGAAGTAAATAATTTATCAAAACAGCCCTTCTATCAGCTAAGGAAAAATGATAAATGGAGCATGAACACTATAAACCAGAAGTAGAAATGCCTTTTAATAAAGGGGAGTTGCTGTTCAGATTATCACAGCCCTATCCACGTCTTCTCTGACTGATCATTCCCCTGCTCTGCAGACTGCTCTGTACACACTCAGTGAACATTGCCAGGGAGCAAGACCATCTCCTTTTAGTAAGGACCCAAGAAAAGATCTGCCTCTTCTAGAAACATGCTGCAATTTCCTGAATGGATAGGAGTTCACACCTAACATCTAAGAGTTGGTGGCAAAATAGACCTCAACAGAAAACTGCACTGTGTAGTTTTAGTGCTCAGCTTAAGCGTTCATGTCATAAAATCAGAAAAAGAGCTGGGTTGGAAGGGATCCTTCAAAAGCCATGTAGTGCAAAGAATGGGCTGAGAAAGTACAGAGTGACAGCGAGCATTACAGCAACAGGATCCTACAACTACGCAGCAAAAGGATGCTGCAAGAAACCTTCACAACTCATCACAGCGTCATATCAGGTTGTGGTTAATGAAGATATTGATACCAGTCATGCCCTCCAACAGAGAGAAAACAGCAGATCCTTCTTTCCCCTCTTTCTCTGGTAAAGGAATGAATGTTTCCCAGCTCCAGCAGGCTGACAAGGTGCAATGTGGCCCAGAGATAATTAGTGCTAAGGATGAGCTAGTGCTGGGGGTTTGGTGTAGACATGGGAAGTATTTCACTGTTGCTCCTGGAAGCTCCTGGCTATCCTGTGTCCTGTGTCCCCCTGTGCAGTGGTGGCAGTGCTGGTAACCCCCACAGGCTGCACATCACACTGCTGCAGTGTCCTTGTCCATGGATGTGTGCCTGCCTCTGATGGGAATGAACACAAGAAAAGCTCAAAGGATCGATTTTGGGATTCTTTTGCTGGGGGCAGGTTTACAACCCCCAATCTGCTGCAGTCTGTAAAGCCAGGCTCTTACCAACACTGCTGTGTTAAAGCAGCTCTGTGTGTTCATACCTTGGTATGATATTTTTTTCACTTGACAAACAAGAAGCTGCCTGGTGACTCTCTCTGTCACTATGCCAGTCCATCTTTCCTTTATTATGGATAGTACTTTCCTGAAGTGGGAACAAGAGTTATTTTTTGTTCCTTCAAATGCCATTTGTGAGTTGGCTGACTAGATGTCAGCCTGAGAAAAAATAATCCTGTAGAACACACAATGATTCCTCTACACTATTAAAAATATACTAAAAAAATTAAACCATGTTCATACTGCTCAAAAACATCTCAAAGACAGAAACATCACAATAGGATACAATTAATATATCAATTAAGAAGCAGAAAATTCCCAGAACAAATCTAGTGACTCTGGTTTTTTAATCCTGAGAAAAGTTCAGACCACAATATACATCTCTGTAAGAAACCTCACAAAGAAACAAAGAGGTGTCTGTCTTAGACCATTGCTCCTATTATTTCTTCTGGATGTGCAAGCCTGTATGAATTCCACACAGATTAAAAAGCACTGAACCATGCAATTATAATGGTGGAGGGCACTTAAAATGCGTTTACTGAGAAGAAACATTGGTTGTCATCTCTTTCCTGATGTCAGTACAGCCTGTTACATAGTTCCCCTTCTGTCACTTTATTTCAGATTTCCACAATCCAGCAGGCAGCAGGAAATTACAGGATAAGGAAAATGGCTCTTTCTGATGAAGTTACACTGAAGTACTGGGCTCCATTTTTTGGCAATTAGTTACTGTTGTTCAAAAGGCCCAAGTCCTCATCTTGCATCAGTGCCAGACAGGCTTGACTGTCACTCTCCCAGGATGTCTGCAGACTCTTTCTGTAGCCAAATCCAAGCTGTAAAACAGAAGACACTTGACCACCCCTCCTAGGATCTGCTGCCTGCTGCTGGCTCCTTTTACCACAGGCCAGGCTCTATGACTTGTCAGAAGCCTGCCCAGGTCTCAGTTCTTTTCCAAGCCCACTTTGCTCAAGCTCTGCTATAACTGACATGTACTTAAATTCACTGGATCTGTGGTTGAAGGTCTCCACTAATCCGTAGGTCTCGGAGCGATCCGTGGCATAGAACAGCTGCACCTGGTTGGCCAAGCACTGGGCATCATGGACCACCTGGGAGTGAGAGCAGAGCAGTTACCATCAGGGTGGGGCTGTGCCATGTCCCACTGGAAAACAAATGCTACAGTCCTACTTACCACGTGGCTCAACTCCAAGTCATCTTAGTACAGTAAATCTCTTAACAAACCACCTCCCTGTGGCTCCCGACCTACTTAAAACACTTCAGCACCGCGTGTTTTAGCAACTCTCCTGCTGTGCATCTGCCTCAGAGGTCAAGTGTGTCTTTTGTGATCCCTGCCCACTCCAAGATGCACCAAGTCCTCATTTTTCCTATCTTACAGCTGACCTACTTGCAAAGATTGATTGCTTGCTCTGAGATCCAACAGGGAAAAAGAAAAGCTTTACCAGTTACTCCACTCATTGTTTCAGAAGGGGTGACAGGAGGTCAGTTAGAGGAGGGATATTTTAATCATCTTGTTCCACCACTACAGTGCCCAGTACCACCTGTCCAGGCACTGGTACAGTTATGCCAGTAATGGTGTGCCCACACAGAGGGAAAGAGCACAGGTGTGCACAAACTGAACATACAACTCTGGAGTCTCCAGCTTTGACAAATTAAAGAATTAAGCTTCAAAACAGTTTTAACTTGTTCGCAGTTAGCAACAGCTTTAATTTAAATTTGCTTCTGTTAGTAAGAAAAACAGAAGCTCTGTTCTTTTACAATGATCAGCTATAATACTCATATTAAAAAAAAGGCATAAACTGAAATCACCAAAGACTGATGATTCCCTTCTGGCTTTCCCTAGCCTTAAGTACATTAGGTTAAAAAAGACAGTGAGAGCATTCTTTGGCAAACGGTCTTTGAAAGACTTCACTGTAATTTGATTTTAAGTCAAAACTGTAGAAGGAGTTGCAGCATAAATGAAAGAAGCCAGTGAGCAGAGTTCTCTTACCAAGAACTTGGAGTCCATCTCTGCTGTCATTAGTACTATCCCTTTCTCCTTCTGCAGATCAGGATAATGGTACAAGACCAACTGGCTTGGAGCAGTTTCACCTTGGGTCTGAATGAGACAAAGAAACTTGTCAGTATCCCATAAAAACCTTCACTCCACTGCAGATTTGGGTGCTTGATTACAAAACTTTGAGTGTTAACTGCCACAAAGGCAGTTACTTCCCAGGGCTTAAGCATCAGTTCTAATCAGAAGTTCACTATTCTTTACAGAAAACAAGGGATTTTCAGAGTTAGGTTGTTTTTTTCCTTGACTAGAGACCACTTTGCATTTAAAAGAACCCACAATTTTTAGCAAGACATTTCATCTTACAGCATCTACTGCTATTTTAAGTAGCTTGCACAAACAGTTCTAAAAAGCTTGGCTCTTTCTCATGTTTTGAGACTATTTATTTTCTACCTCATTCTCCTCTACACTAGAGAGACACTTAATACCTATAACTTTACTAATTTACCTGTAACTAATGTACAATTAAACCATAACTAATAACAGCTTTTGTTATGATAGTTCTTTTCAAGTTAAGCTGGACAACCTGTTGGTTAAACTATTTAGTAAATCCTATATATTGCAATATGCTGATATTATCTATTTCTGGATCCTAAGTAAATTTTAAACTTTTTATCTCAAACACTTACCTGAACATTTATCAGGGAAGTGAAGTGTAATTCTGTTCCAGACCACTGCCCCACAAAGAACTCATAGCCTTCTTTTCTTGGCAAAGCATACAGAAACTACAGAGAAATGATAAAAAAACAAACCAATTTTTCCTTACATAGATCAAAATGATGCCTATGTCACACTGGCCTCCAGCATTAATGCTTTAGTGAGAGAACTACAACAGAAAAAAGAGGTTTTTTGCCCCGCCACAAGTGACAGGACAGCAAGAACCAGACTTCAAAGCACACAATAAAGCAGAATTACCCTATCAGTATTAATTCATTAGCAAGTATCTTGACAAATACTTTTATCAGTATTTTGAGACATAAAAAGGATAGCGGAGAACATTCAGACCTTTCTGACCTTTCTGTTCTCACCTAGAAAGCTAACAGCAGAAACTGTCAAATATAAGGTAAGGAGCAGAGCATTTAATCCTGTCATTTTATCAGCTGCCCCAGAACAGGCAGCAAGCACCTTCCCTCTAGACATTTACAGCTCCACAGGGTACAGACCTGCTTGTTTTCCCACACCAAGGGAAGGACACCATGGGAACAGAAAATCTTGCAGGATACCTGACTGAATGCCAGTGAACTGTACAGAAATGCACTTCAGGCTATAAATAACTTTCCAATCTCCAAGTAGCTCAGGAAGCCAGATACATTTGATCTTGCTCTTGGCAAGTGAAGTAGGTAGGACTAATCCATCCCAGTGAAGTCTCCATTCCCTGGGAGATTTTGTGCTGCTGTTCTCTCAACCCTCCATCTCTTCTATCTAGATTAAACTGTTTCATACATATGAATAGGCACTGCTTTATCTGAGCACCAGGACAAGTGTCTGAACACCTGGATTTTACTAATCAGGCTGATACAATGGGTATGAACACAAGAGAGTCAAAAGTTAATGGATCAGGCTTTGAAGAGAAGCATTACAGCTCTACAGCCACAAACTGCTGCACTTACCGATGGACAGCTCTGGGCTCTCTTCCACATCAAATCAAACTTGTCTGCCTTGGGGGAAAGAGAAAGAGAAGTTCAATTTTCATAACACAAATATGGATGCAAAGCTGTTCACAATCACCTCGTTAACCTTTAGAGGGTACAGCTTCCATCTGGAGAAGGTCCCGCTGTGGGGACAGATGGCAATGAGTGCATGGAAAGCCACATTTAGTTCTTATTTACCTAAAAGTCACCAGCATCCCATTTTAACAAGGCTGTCTCTAAGATGCAGCAGCAAAATCCCTGGATCCAGAGCTTCATTCCTTGGATGTGAGGGTCCCAAGCCTGAGGCTTACATTACATCCTTTTTCAGCAATTGCTCCACTGCATCATGTAGTGTCAACAGCTGAGCGAGACAACACATCCCTGGCTCCAAACTGTGGATTTACATCATTGTCATCTGTTCTTCACTATAAAAATGCAGCCCATAGATACACTCAATAACATACTTATTGCTTAGGTTTAAATTAAAACCACAACCTTATTTCAGCCCTGATGAAACCTGGCAATTTCATTCCCATGTTCTCTGTGTTTCCCCCAGTCTTTTGCCCAGTTCTTTGTTGGTTTTTTTTTGCTTCCCAGCACTATATTATTATCTACTCTTAAGTGTTCAGGAAAGAAAACACATGCCATTCATCAACAAGAAATTCCTTTGCTACTTTTGAGCACTGGAGAATTATGCAAGACCTTTCTTTCAGCCAACAAAAAGCTTCTGGCAAAAGACAAAGGGTTTTTTTTCCCCTCGATGACACCATGAACTGCTTCCTAATGTGCCTGGGATCTGGTTTGCATTGAAGTCTTAAAAAGCTTCCAACACTCCTCCTAAAACAGTGCACCAAAGCACAGTGCCAGCCCCAATAATGAAAGACCTAGATCATTTTAACTGGAGTCCCTGGCTTTGGCCCTCTGCTACAGTAAAAGTGTAAGTCAAACTATTTTCACAACATCCACATGTGGGGAAAACCGAAACACGAAGCTGCTTGACTTCAAATCCCACACTTCCATTTTCAGACCATACAGCACATCACAGGTTTAGAACAGTGCCTCCCACTGAATTCAGCTGCAGTTCAAAGGGCCAAATACAATTACAAATCAGAGCCCAGATCTAAATGAGGTTTCAAGAACTCAAGGAACACACAGTTGTGAAAAGACAGATTTAAGAGATCACAATCAAAGAATGACCCTGAATCCCCAAAGTGAAAAAAGCCTCTTTCAGCCTAATGCAAACTAAGAACAATTAACATCTGGAAAAGTTATCAGGAGTAAGAAGTATGATTTTATCTCAGGAAACACCCAGCAATCTCAAGAAAGACAGTGCCGCCAATAATTGTAAATGTATGAAAGTAAGTCCTGAGTGATTAGCCACATGTAAGTCACCAGCCAAGTGCTCTAGGACTGCCACATTAACCTTGAGGGAGCTGCCTGTGCTGCGGGGAAGAGGGCAAAGAAACAACTCTGAGAAAAATAATTCCAAGAATACAAATGCTACTTAATAAACACTAGGGCCTTGCGAAAAGTGTTGGATGCTTGTAATAAAATAAGCCTGGAAATTCAAGCCAGGTGTGCAGAAAAAGGTCCTTGATTTATTGAGACTCCTTAGAGTGAGAAAAAAGGGGTATCCATTTCCGAAAACAAAAGCCTTTGTTTGGGCAATAAAATCACTCAGCCCAGAAAGTAAGTTTGTTCTTGAAACCTCATTTTCCTTCAATGACTGCTTTTAAAAGCAGCAGAATCTCAGTTGGAAAGGAAAGCTCTGTATGCTGGCTTCTCAAGCGCAGAACTATAGAGGAACTACTTACAGGAATAACAGCATAAACGGTGTCTTTTGCAGAAAAATACTGATTCCAAATCTGTAGGAAACAAAGAAGATGAGATACAGCTTAAGTCCAGCATTTAGCAGTAATGTTAAATGCTTTAAAATGTCAGCTAACCTTTGTAAGCACTTTGGGATGTCATTTTTCAATCAAGCCTGACTGACTTTCCTGCTAATGCAACATACTTCTCCAAAGGTTCCAGATGTACCAAAGGCCAGATTCCAACCAGGTAACAGAAATCAGCAGTAGGCTCAGAGGTGGCTCAGAATTTACTAACCAGTAGAAGTGCTTCTCACATTTTTCCCAACAATCACATTAATGCCTTTTGATTGGTTTGGGTTTTTTTGGTTGGATTTTTTTTGGTGGTAGTGTTTTTTTTAATAAAGAAGGTACAAAACACTTTCAACAGAAGACAAGTCTTTGCATGATGCTCCTCTGTGTTGACAGTCTTTTTCTTCATCACAGCAGGATGGCAATACCCAGTGTATCTGTACCTCCTAGTACATCCTAGGAAGACTTACCTAGATGGAGAAAACTTTATCTTCTCCTATGGATACCCATATCAATATGCTTTTTGTAAATATACATCCACAGCTGTGTTTTATTTTTCAGTCTAAGTAAAATTTCCATCCTTACACGTAGATTACTATTAAGCACAAATGTGAGACAAAGTTTATTCCATTTAAATCCATCACCTGTGTTATCTCCTCTGCTGATTTTTCTTTCACCATCTCAACATTAAGAATTGAATCAAGTGTCTGGAAGAGAAAGCACAAAGAATCTGGCATGATGGCAGTTCTCTGACCTTGTAAGAATCCAGAACGAATGGATGCAATTACAGAGAACAAAGTCAATCTAGAGGAACATGATTCAATTTATAGTGTTACTTAGTCCCTTTAATTGTCAAATAAAATACAGCAGCAACACACTGAGAAGTGGATTCACACACTGAGGCAGAATAGATTCTTTCAGGACACAGCACATGCTTTGCTCCAGTTGTGCAGATCTCTTCTGAAGCTTCAAGAGGAGCTGCAGCCTTTTGCCTTCAGGCATCTCAAAGACATGCTCTTTGGCAGATTTACACTGAAGATTTACCAAAATAAAAGAATGTGAAATAGAATTCTCTCGTCCCTAGGCTGGCTGATCACTGCAAATGTATTCCCATGCTGTAAAAGGAGCTTAACCCTTTCCATTTAATGTTCAGAACAGATGGTCCAACTGCAAGGAATTTCCAGGCTGTCACAGAGAAAGGACAAGGTAATAAAAACCCAGAGTGCCAGGAGTTTTAAGGCTGAATGAGATCCCAACAGTAAACCAAGATCTTTACACTCAAATGCAGCATAAGGAACACCAGGTTTGTATCAAAGTGTTCTTGACTGAAGCACTGGCTGTGGCAATACAAGTTAATCCACACCGTTGACTTGCCACCACGTCCAGTCCCAACATCCTTTACCTTATCCTTTGTGAATCCTCCCTTTGATGTCTTGCTGCCCAAGCCTTCTGCCTGCAATAAAAGATTCTTCTTTAGTTTTACAGCTTTAATACCGTTGATTTGCCTTCCCTGTCACACATAACCTGCCTGCTGACAAAAACTCCTGAGTAGAAGCTCAAGATATTTGAGGATCGCTGCAGTGTATTTTTAATAAAGTAAGTGATTGATTAGGTGAAGTAAATAAGATTAGTAACTTAATGTGAATTATGAATTTCAGGGCCAGAAAGGATTAGTCAAAAAGAAGCTATTAAGCATTTTAGATCCAATATTATTGAACTGTTTTCTTGTGTTGACTAAAAAATGATAAATGCAGGATTGTGTCACTGCTCTGGCCAAACTAATATGTAACTAATTAAACTTAAGGTTTCAAGCAGGGAATTTACAGTCTAAAAAATAATACAGAGGAGTACAGAACAATGCTTTTAGCCATCACACAGTGAAATTTCAGAGCTGATACTGACAGGGATACTTCAAGTCTGTAACATTATACTGACCCCAAAAAATAATATTATCGCTTCAATGTATGTGATTTACAAAGAAAATTGGCCTTGCCTTTTCCTCCATGCATCTGATAAACTCTCCTTGTTTGGAATGTCCCACAGGCTGCCTTTTCACTTCACTTCTTTTTTCCATACGGGACTCAAACACATCTGGACTGGACCTGAATTGGAACACGGACTGTTAACAGTACAACAGAGCCATGGAACAGCTCGAGTTGGAAGGGACCCATAAGGATCACCCAAGTCCAACGGGACATAAATTCATGTAACTAAAACATTCCAGTTTGCTTTTAAATAACCTGAAGTTTTAAATTATGACAATAAACAGGAAAAATCAATGCACATTTAAGAAACTGTGAAAGCTGTTGCACAATATCTCCAAGGCTTTGGATTTGGTTTTGGCACTGGACTCCAACAAGACCAGGTTGGACGGGGCTCTGAGCAACCTGTCCTAGTGGAAGTTGTCCCTGCCCATGGCAGGAGGGTTGGAAGTGGTTGATGTCTAAGGTGCTTTCCAACCCAAGCCATTCCACGCATCTGTGAGTGAGTCTGTGAAGTCTTTTGCTTCATTGATTTATACTGCTAAGAAAGGTGATCCATATTTATCAGGATAATTCAAAACCATGATTCTTCTATGGGCTGTTTTGATTGTGGCCTTGTCAGAAGATGGACTTAGACCTAAAATAAGACCAACTTCTGCTTATTCATTTTCTGTTCAAATCCTCCTTTATTATAAGATGGAAGATTATAAGTTGGAATACTCTTTTGCCTGTTCCAAAGGTTTACAAAGGTGGTGAGCAGTGCTGGGTGATTACCATCATTTGACCTTTTCAAGTGTTTACTGTGATACTGTGATACTGATTCACGTTCTTAACATTTTAATTTCATTTTCGCAAAACTATCTCTTATCAAGCTGACAACGTTGGGAGACGACTCTCACTGTCATGTGAATTTCAAGGCAATCGGCCTAAACTAATCGAGTTCCACAACAGGGCGAAAAGCTAAAATAGAACGGCACCTCTCCTTCAAGAGCGAGCCCCCCAGGCACGCCCTTTTCGCAAATCACAGCCCGCCCACCGCCACCTCCCTCAGGGCCCACCTCCGCAGCTCCTGGATCTTGTGCCGGTACTTCCCGTAGAAAGGGTTCTCCTCCAGCGCCGCCTCTCCCGATCCCGCTGCCGATCCCGCTGCCGTTCCCATTCCCGTTCCCCCTGCCGGCCCCAGCACCCCCCGTGCCGGCGGTGCCAGCAGCCCGAGCGGCCGGAGCGCGGCGCGGCTCCGCAGGGCCGCCCCCAGGCCCCAGCCCTGGCACAGCGGCCCCGCCATGGCTCCGCTCCCTCAGCCCGGCCCTCGCTCCGCCCGCCGCTCCCTCAGCCCGACCCATGCTCCGCTCGCCGCTCCCCTCAGCCCGCCCCGCGCCCCGCCCGCCGCTCCCTTAGCCCGCCATGGCTCTCTCAGCCCTCCCCGTTCCACCTCCCCTGCCAGGAACCGGCCGGAAATGAGCTTTAGCTGCAAAGGAGCTTTTATTGAGACAAAAGTCGCGTTACATGGTAGAGCGCCGCGGAGCGAACAAGCGCGGTGGGCACGGCCCTGCTCCCGGCGCAGGTCGAGGTACACAGTGGTCACCCAAACCCACAGGTACAGCCCGAAAGCGAACCCAGGAATCAGGGAACAACAGCAGGTCTTGGCAGGGCAGAGATCTTTTCCTGTTACAATTTGCTCTCACAACTTAATTGGTTTTGATTTCACTCAGATACCGCCTTTTTCTCAAGGACTCGCTGCCCAGAGCATCCAGCCGTCCCTTTGGTAGCCCAGCAAAGTTAGGGCAGGGAGGGGATCTGTACGAGTGTATTTACTACACTCACGGCTTTTCATCTGCACTGTGAGTGAACACGGCAGAGGAACCCTGCCCACACCGGGCGTCAGGGCTTTGGGAAGCGTGCGGGACGGAGAGCGGTGGCTGAGCAGACACCGCGCAGGGATGGGACCGGTGCTCCCAGCCTGCAGCACAGGAGAGATCACCGTTCTTAGGGATGCTCGGATTTTGTCTAATTGACAGCACAAGCCCATCCTACAAGCGACCACAGCAATTAGCTGTGCCCTCGACATGCAAGTTAAAAAGCAGCCCTGGGCAGTCGTGTCCCAGCACTGACCAGCTGAGCTCCCTGGGAACAGGCAGAGGACACAGGCAGTGGAATAGCACACATCAGGTCTAGCTGGCATTTTCACTACTGCTGCTGAAGAGCCTTCCAAAAGTAAAAGCAGACTGCAACAAAACAAAACACTAAAAGATTCACAAGGTGGTACCATAATATTTTAAAATTTTAAGGTAAAGTTAAATTTCATACAAATAAACTTCCAAAAATATTTTGCAAACTCTGGCATATGGCTATGATACAGTATGTACAAATAAAATATCAGAATGGTTACATTTTATTGCTTTTTTTCTTTATTTGGTTAAGGAATTATACAGTAGTGTATAAAAGGGTACGGGAAGTAGCAAGAAGCAAGTGTTGGCTTCTTGTCCTCTCTAAAGCCAAGGTTGGTTGGTTTTGCTTTGTTTTTAAATATGATGTTTTCAAATGTCACATCAAAAGCATTTTGGTACTGGGTGGCATCTGCATTACCCAAACAGGATAGAAGAGCAACAGTGAAAGAAGCCTAGGAAATGGGTAGTAGGGCTTCATTTTGTACATTCCTTTGCTGATTCATACTTCCAAAATACAGTTATTGATAAAACATCCAGTCTAAAGTTATATAAAATTCAACAATTATGAACTGACTTCATCATAAGCTGATGTTTCAGCGAGGTGGGCAACTTCTACTCACTAATCATGCAAAAAACTCTTAACAAGATCAATGATATTTGTGAGCAAAATCACCCAACTTGGCCCTGATCTAGCCTGTGAGAGAATCCCTTCTGCAAAAGCCATTTTTCTATGTTCCAGAAGGTAATAAATACACTCTGTGTTTAGATCCACTACTATGAACAACAGATCTTTTAAGTTCCTCTAGTAAGGAAACCTCACGTACAAACCATGTGTCAGTACAGAATGATGATGCCTACACAGCTTTTTACATCCTTCTGTTGGCAAGGAGACAGAAAATAAAGGTACCAAGAAGGGATCATGGTCACAATAGTCAGGAAAGAGCTCACAGGTCTACTCTGGGCCTTCTCACCTGCTCACACTCCTGGAGTGTATCAGAGCACCACTGAGGCATGAACTGCTCAGGTGCTGCTCAGCAGGCTGCACTGAAGGCTTTTACCTCTTAAGCATCTATTAAAGCTATTAAATATGTTCATTTAAAAAAAATAAATAGACAGGCTCATCTCACAAAATATAATCTGAATGCAACACAGCAAAGCCTAAAGAATGCTGAAGTGAAAACCCAAGCACTTGGCAAGTTAATTGCTCCTGTAGGCTCATGATATATATAAAAACACTTTTAACTCTTCCCTTTAAAAATACATCCTGCTATAGATGGGCATGACTTACCCCTCCTGCTTTCCTCTGACTGAGGCCAAATTTATTCATGGATATATTTAGTAAAATCAGAAATTTAGCCGAAGGTCTTAAACCCCCATTCCAGGTTCAGTCTCTCAATATAAACAGCTTACTACCAACACAGCCCCTGACACAACTTCTTAAATATGCATAATTTACTCTATCTCAAATATTTACAAGCAGAAGCCCATCTTCACAAGACAGATTTTCCTTCTGCTCTACATAAAGTGCAGCTCTCTAATTTAAGGCAAATTTCAGTGAAATATAAAACCATAGTTTTATTTTAGTATGTACACATTTAAATTATAACCAATAATTCCCTTGAAAAGGAAATAACAAGAGGAAAATGTTTCCAAGTTTGGGAATTTTCTGGATTTTAACAAAGTCCCAATATTATGTCCTATCGACATATAAATCTGTAATTTTTTTTTTCAATAAATGCAACTGAAAAAAGAGGTGACAATGTGTACAGTAATTTAGATCCAAAGATCAGTGTAACACTGGGAAAGTGCAGCCATAGTTTTTCATGTCCTGCAGCTTCCTTAAGCTACAGTAACATCCACCAATATCTCATTTCTAAACATATACCCTATACACCTAATGCTAGTCTCAGTTCTTTTAGTGTATATTTCTCATCTCCATCTGTGTCAAACTCCTTAAAGCTCTGTGATTCTTGGGCTGTGGAGCCAAGCAGCTTTTGAAGATCTTTGTATGAGAGTTTTCCATCAGCATCCTCAGGTGCTTTTTCAAACAGTTTCTGAAGATCTGCAAAGTGAACAAGGATTGAGAAACAGCTCTTTAAGTACACAGGAATATCCTATAAGCTGCTTTCCCAGTTTTACAGCACTGTCTCTTACTACCCAGTAATCCCTGAGTGAGGAGTTTGTCTCCTATGTTGTCACAAGATGCTGATAGCAATTTAGGAGAAAAAAGCATGAACATTTCTAGATTAAATTACACTAAATCTGAAGAAAGTAATCCCTATTTCTAGGCACAACTAACAGCCCATTTTACAACCACTAACTGCATACAGATGCAGTTATCCTCCACAAAAGCAAGCTCTGAATGACTGTTGCTATACCAACAGGACAGATGATATAAAGGGAAAAGTGTCTATTCACTTCCTGATGCAAAGAGTTGCCCTTTCAGGAGCTGAAGAGACTGAACAGCAAGATCCAGAAACCATTCATCTGACCAGGCAGTGTTCTCTTGGGGGAAAAAAATACAGAACAGAAAAAAGCCCCAGAACAGACACACTCATAGCTACTTCTTTTTCCTTCAGCATGTTAATTCTGCCCTTGACTTCCCTCCCAGTCTCTGGGGCCCTCGATGTAATACTTTGGTACTCAAAACAATTATAATTCACTAATAATGCACACTCTTGCTTAAATCTCAGTTTCTTTTCTTTTACATGCTATGCTTTCCTTTCAGTTTTTTTCTTAATTGCCTTTTTTTTTTTTTAAACCAATAGTCCTCAAGCTTTTGAAATTGATCTTGCATCTCTCAGAATGTTTATACTTATCCTCTCCTAAAAATTTACATGAAATACTCAGAAGAAAAGGTCAGCCTAAAAAGGACATACCTTCAATGCTGGAAATTCCTGGTAAGGAGAGATGGCTCAGCTGCCCGTTTCTCTCTGTGTTGTCACCAGCTGACCTTGAAGCCACCCTTGAAAGGTCTGTGGGCTTTGCTGTAGTACTCTGACTACTTTCAACTGTTACAAAATAATTTCTTTTAGTCTTACTAAATTCCACAGAATTACAACTAGCAAAACCAAACAAAAATCCAACAAAACTGATTTTTTTTAATCATAGTAGCTGTATGGAATAAGAATCCTGCAATATTTCAGAATGTAGCAGTGATGTCCCTTTTTACTACAATTGAAAGAACTGTTTTGGGACAGTCACACAGCTTTAATCTTCCAGTCTGTACTAGAAGGTGTGTATTTATGAACTCCCATAGAAAGAATGACTTGGGAATGTTTCCTGCTCCCCACTCTGAGGGTGCTGAAGAAGCTTCATTAAGCAAATTATATCTTCCCACCTTATCAATACCAGTATTACCCAACAACAAAGTTTAAGTTTCCAAGCACCTGCTTGGAATGAACAAGCAGCACAGTTCTATTGTAATGAAGGATTTAAAAATCTGATGTTCAGCAGAAGTGCAGAAGTGCAATCAGCAGAGGCAGAGACCTTTCCTCTCCGTTACACTTACATTTTGAAAAAGTAAAACCAGATGTTACTGGGTATAAAGTTCTACAGTTAATCAGTGCATGCCTTCAAATACAGCTATCGATCCACATGAACACTGCCATACTTCAAACTTTTAGAGTTAAACAGTTTTCTGTTTTAGAAACAGCAGCTTCCTATCGCTTTAACTAAAAGACCTTCATCAAAATCTCAAGGAAGAGTCTAAATTATCCACCTTAGTTACTCTTTGAATTACACAGGGAACCTCCAGATTTATGGATTACTGTTACCAGACATTCTTAACATTTCTTGATGCCTCAATGGGTCTGTCATTTTCTGACTTGCCTGTGAGAGCACTGATCCGCTGAAGAGTCTCTTTTAGTTTTGATACCTGAGAATCCCTAGTTCCTGCTTCCTGCATATGTACAGAAAAAAAAACAAACTTAAAATGCACCCCTTCAGTAGATGCAGAAGATGAGAAAAAGTAGTAATTTAAAATATGTAAGCACTTTTGACTGACTTAGAGGTATCCAGGCTGATCAAGTTTAAAATAATAAACAAGATTTTAAAGCATAAATATTTTTTAAAAATCTGTGGGAAGATGTAATGAATAAATTCCCATAGTCTGCAGGAAAACAACAGAATCAGTACCTCAACCTGAAAAAC